GCTTTGCACAACAGAAGTCAAGAAGGAATCAGTAAGTGATGTGTTAATTAAAAGTAGTTACAATATGTACAAATTACACACTACTAGTTTCTTCTATCCTTTTGACTCAGTTTTCATGACCCTTTAAATGGCGATCAATTCTGTTAAAAAAATCCATAGTTTCATCGCGTGGTTCCTCATCAACCACCTCAGCTGGAGAATCAGTCTTTGCATCAACCGTAACCCCAATAGCCGATTCAACTATGACATCACTTCCTTCTTTATCGCTTTCTGATGCAGAATCATCTTTTGTACTCTGGAGAATGGGAGTTGTATCTGTTGTGTCATTGCCGTTATTAAGCGATGCAGTGGCGTTCTCGAGTAAATGCGCAGGTAAAGGCTGATCCCCGACTGGAATATTTAACACTTTCCTAAGAAATATGCTGTCAGTTGTAAATAGTTTGTTGGCTCTTTTAATTTGTTCTATCTGTAAATCAAAGTAGTATGGTAAAAAAAAGAAAGAAAAACACAAGTCAATAAAAAATACAGACATTTCCATCAAGGCAATAAAATCATTGAAAATAATGTCTGGCAGACATAACTACAGTCTAATGCTCAAGGAGGTACACTAAAAGTACATCAAGCCAACAAGTGGGTACTGTAAGTAAAGTTACCATAGTAACAGCCTGTAATAACAGAAAACCTTCCAGCAAGGTCAAAAAAACAACGCACGTCACTCGTCAAAACGTTGAAATTTTCTCAAAAATTGGTAAAAACAATAAATAGTGAATCAATGCTTATCACGTCTGATGGTCATACTCACAGGCGGAAGCAGTGTCTAGTGAGAAGGGCTTGGGTGTTATTATTGACAACCAATTCAGCTCTAAAAATAGCTTGTGGTGCAACAGAAAGGTAAAATGCCTGAATAAACATCTTATTTTCATTCCATTTTGTATACTTTTAAAGGGTTGTAGTCGTTATGCCACGCATGCACGAGATATATGGCTTTCATATAAACAAATATGGCAACTTTGACTGTTGCGCAGATCAACCAGTACAAACTGAGACATTACAAAGCTTTAATTAGGTATTTTTCAGGTGGTTGGAAGGTATCGAAAGAATTCCCAGCATTAATTAGTGCAAGTTGCCCAGGTAACACCTCATTGTGATTTCCATTAGAATTGGCCCGGCGCATTGGATTGTGGGAAAATCAATGTTTATCAACACAAATATCACACATGTGCAGCACGACAACTGACATGCTTTAAGTTGAGTATTATAACTTTTCTTTCATTTTCTTCATCTTTATAAAATACAAAAAATTACATTAATCTTATTTTTGAGTTTCTTTTACTGTAACCTAATACTTCTTTCTCTAGGCTTTATATGAGGTGTTGTACAATACTTTATTTCTACTTGGAAATTATTTGCACCATGATTTTCAAGGAAGGAGAAAATGAGCCACATCAAATCCAGCCAACATACTATTTTCCCAATGGTTTGCATGTAACTCATGATAAGCTAAACTACAGTTATAAAAACAAAAGTAAGCAATTCAATAGTATATTATGAAGGATGTTTAATACATGTACTAGCCTATAGAGAATATTTAGAATAGAAAATTGTTTAAATGTTTTTCATGTTGCAAGTAGGGCTTGCTATGAATGGAATTTATTACTATAATCCCCCCAAAGTACCTGAAAAACTCGTAAAAATTCTGATCACTTTTAAATAATTTGTTTAGATAAAACGGTTGGGTTTTTAGAATACAAAATAACGATAAATTTTCGGCCAGTCGAGTAAAAATTCAACAAATATATAAGTTTGGTTATATACAGTTGCAGAAATAGAATAGTTATAGAAAGTCATGTCTTTAAACAAATTGTTTTCTTATGAAGTACATATGTAAATTATATAGTATTTAGTTATGCAAATTAGCCACTATGCCCGAGTATTAATTAACTTGGTAAGAATACTGATGATAAACACTGAGGTAAAGTGAAGACCACTGAGATTTTTTCATTGATATTTCTCTGGATTAAAACAACTGACAACTTACTTGTTTAAAAATATTGACAATTACCGATACTGTCCTGAAATATTTACACATAGAAATAAATAGTGCCTATGAAATGCCACATACATAATTAAAATTTTTGGCTTCTGTCGCCCTGAAATGGATATTGTAAAAAAATAAGAAATAAATAATAAATCATTTTTGAGTAAAATTGAAAAAAAAAATTCAAGTTGTAGACATGCTCCCTTCCTGGCACAGTTGACTGTTTCTGACTTTCCGACTTCTGTCGAAGTGACACTGCACCACAATCGGCAGGGGAAGCCATACAAGTACCATGTACTGAATACCATGAAAAATTGTTAAACTAATCCTTTTACAATTGTGTGCGATAAAAATCATAATTTTTATTGTCTGGGAATTAATTTTTATTTTAGATTATTTAAAAGTCAATAGACAGCAAATTGGAACCTGTAACATTTCACAGACACTATAAGATTGATTTTAATACATCTAGACTGTAAGACAAAAGCCAGCAAGTGATTCAAAATATTTTAAAAACAAAATAGTTGTTCTAATCCAGATCAATCTCAATGACAAATTCTTGGTCATTATCACTGCAAAAGTCATTTCCTGCATCAGCTGAGACCAACAGAGGAAAAAGATCAAGTATTAATCAGGGTATTAGTATTAATATAGTACACAACAGTTGTTTAAAGTCCACAGCTGATACAAGTTCGTACTTGACCTTTCAACTGAATGACATCTTGACAAATACACGCAACTTTGTTTTGTTCTGCAATATACCGGTAAAATGAGTGATATCTGAAACTAATTATTTCCATATTTTCCTACAAAAGTGTTAAATACTAAACAATACAATATAGCAAAATGTCTGTAATAATAAGACAGTAAAATTAAGTACTTGAGTAGCCAAGACTGGTGTCATCGTGCATGTAGGCAAAACAGTACAGAAATAAATAAAAAGTGTCCAAACAAAGCTGGAAAGCAAACTAATTAACACGTATATTTAAAGAAAACAATTTCCCACTTTGCCCACCACCCACATGCACCATGTAAACTAGACAAACGAGTAATTACTAGGGGGTATACATGATGGTATTTCAAAATTTAATCTCTGGTGTTATTATTCATCCTAAAATCTTAAAATATAATAATTCTGTTGTAATTAAAGTTGAGACATAATTTATTTAAAATGTGGTCACGGCGTGGGGCCTCTAAATTACAGACCATGAAAGTCGTACATGTGAGATTTACAAATCGTCTATTTATAAATTTAAGACTTGCTCTGTCAGCACTGACGACTTGGTGACTTTTGGTAAGAATTAATCGGAATTATTATAATATACATAAATATTTAAAAGTTTCACGGGACAGTAGTCACTGAGTATAACAAGATCAATATAATTCAAAGATTTAAAACTCGTCGTCTCAAAACAGTAATTTGAAATAAAAATTACCGCTGGCGAAAGCTGATACCTTTCGAGTTCCTCCGTCATCCATGATCGGAACAAATCGCACCGGAAATTACCGTTCAACTCACCGTTACTCCATATTTCAACGCGATCCCTTGAAGAGTATCAGTCTCAGACACCGAATGCTTTATATATATTTCTTGTTTTGATTTTTGGAGACTTCCGTAGGATCTGCCGTAATGTTTTTTCGTAATTCCCAGACCCTGCCGTTCACTCCGACTCCCTTCAAGCGCTGCCATTTTATGGATGTACTCGTATTTTGATTTGACGTTGATGGAAATCGCGTATTACGCGAGAGTCTCGTTAAAGTCGAAAGGTCAATCTGCCAAATTATAAACATGTTGTCAAAATGATGTTCGCTATGTAGCAAGTTATTCAGAACAGAACACCTAAAAATAAACGAAAAAAAATCGAATTCCCATTTTGTTTTACATATTATATAAAAAAATACAAGTATATTTGAAACATATGAACGTCACTCGACGTAGAGAGATCACCGGTTGAGGGCGCGCATGGTAGTGGTTTTCAAACAAACATCGACAGGAAAAGAAGCTGAATTTTCAGTATTTCAAAATGAGCTATCAACTTTATCGAAATACGACGCTCGGGAACAGTCTCCAAGAGAGCTTAGATGAACTTATACAGGTATGTATTGAGTGGTTTTAAAAATGCGTCAATGTTTAAATGAAAATGTCAATGTCCCCGCGGTAACTGGACAACTGGACCCCAAGACAACTGTACCCCAGACAACTGGACCCCGAGACAACTGGACCCCAGTCAACTGGACCCCGTATACGTGACGGGGTTAACCAGTGACGGCACTGACGGGATGAGGTTGTCTAGATCTGTAAATAGATCGATTCATTACCGTTCCACGCAACGAACGGCAGTGCACCGCCATCTTGGACGATACCATTCATAGCATCGGTGTAGTAGCCATAAGTTGACAACGCTAACACATGCATAATAAACATTATTATATTTTCCATAAACTCATACAGTGTATCTCTTTGTACTTGAGCACAGGAAACTCAAAGTACGTACAGTGTGTCTCTTTGTCTGTACTTGACTACAATAAACTCGTACAGTGTATCTCTTTGTTTGTACTCGAAACTCGAAGCAGTGTGTCTCTTTGTCTGTACTTGACTTACAATAAACTCGTAGAGTGTATTTCTCGAAGTACGTACCGGTTATATATTTGTACTTGAGCACAGGAAACTCGAAGTACGTACCGGTTATATCTCTGTCTGTAAGAGGGTAAACATTCTTCAAATAGGTGTTACCGCAACATCCATCTGGTGACGGCAATTAACAGTCTTCAAAGAGGTGGTACCGATATGCAATTTCACGATTAACACAAGTGTTCCAAATTCAAATACATGTAGTTAAACCTAACTTGAACTGAGTACATGAAATTATAAAGCAAAGATCTGTCTCGCGTTCCTCGAAAGTTGTAGTAATTTGGCAAGTACGAATAGCCAAATGCAGTGAAAACATATATCAGCTTTGTTGATACGAGGTCACTATTTAATAAATAAAAGTTCTATTTGCCCGATCAAATATTTTTCGAGTTTAAGGAAATTAATCCGTTTTCACTGTAATAATGTATAAGCACAGTTGAACTAACACATATTTGTGTAACTTTCAACTGCCTGTTGTACAAGTTAACTATAGATTGTTACTAGATTACTATAATTGCAGCATGTAGTATGTCGGTAAAACCTACTTACAAAGATACAATGTCGTAACCTCAATGTGCGAAGTGCACTTTATGCTTGTTATTAGCTTAAACAAAGGAATGTAATTAACTGTTTAGCCCATTCAGGCAACACAAAAGATATGAAGTGTTAATCACTTTAAAAGTAGTTATATAAACCCAGGTTGTCCCCAGGATACTTCAGTCTGAGTTCAGTACTTAACTGCTCACGCTATTATTCGTGAAAGGTGAAAACGGTGATATTAAACAGGTTCCACTATTTTTTTGTTTGATGTCACGGCGAGAAAAGAAAGACTACAAGAAAATCCTGAAGATAGCGAAGAGGGCAGTTCCTGGGCTTAAATTAGAACGTGTTATTGTAGACTTTGAAGCT